ATCTCTCATCTCCCTGCCGCCTTTTGAACTTCTCCGCAACGTAGAGCAAAAGGCTCGTATTTCCTGTGTATTTCACGATTTTTTTTCCTTTTTCTCCACTGGCGGTCCACCTCCCACCCCTACATCACATTTGAGTGGAATTACCTCATCAGTTTAAGCTTGAATCTTGCCTTTAACAGAAAGAAACTGAACCATGTATCTGCTAATCAGTTTTTCCTCACAATATGGAGAGAAGGCTCAGAAGACCTTAACCCCCTCAAAAGTCTTATCTTCATGGGTTAATCCCTTTTACTGGTGGAAAGACACAAAAAAACATTGACCTGATCGGATATCTATGTAGATTTTAGATTTTCAAACTGTAGGGGGGCGAAGAAGCTGTAACCTCAGCCGAATACGCACGCGATCTCGGAAGATCCACTAAGCAAAGCTTCTGAATGAAGCATGTTCATATTGGAAAGTTGGAAGATAGTAGTGGATCGCCTCAGGAATAAGTTCTGAAGAGTTTTACCTAGCTGGGAAGCCATCGTGATCGAAACGGTGGGCAAAAATGGTCAACCATCGCGTTCGGTCTTCGTGCGGCCTTCAAAAGTTCTACGCCTCCCCTCCCCCCCCCCCCTCATCGCTCACACAAGCTTTTCGCGGATCGCCGTTGGCGGAAGCCTTACGGCCGATTCTTTTTGATATCTCCTTCCGAAAATTCGTCGTTTTCTGGAAACTTGTCGAATTTTCGGATTGGATATCGTGGTGGTTGGCTATTGGAAATTTTCCAATTCAATTCCTCTTCCAGATTGTACACTACAAAACTACTCAATTTGGATGCCATTATACAGAATGTGACGCTACGTCAACAATGCCACAAACAAAAGTATTGCTCTGCTTGTTCAACAATCCGTGAGTTTTCCTGCGAACTAAATTCGAGAAGAAGCAGCCCTACTAGCTTCACCAGCGTTTTGTTCTTTGAAGACGGACCTCGCATTAAGAATTGATCTTCATGAAAGAGAGAGATGAATAGTGGGAAGGGAAAGAAGGTCCAAAGTAGACGGTATGTGGCGTATTCGCGGCAGAGACCATCCTACCATCAAGCTAGAAAGTGATAGAGGGGTTGCAACGGAATCCGGACGTAGTTGTGATTCAGACATTTGCGTGAGCGTCTTTTCAGAAGTGCCTTAAGAGCCTCACCTCTGAATTTTACCATTATAATTCCAGCTTTCAATTTTGCGTATAACTGGTTCTACTGGACCAGTAGGAGTACAAATTACTATGACGATAGCATATGGAACAACTAGTAACAGTATGATGGTGAAAAAGTTTTTGCCACGGCAATCCTCAACAGCCGTGGCTAACTCGTCCAAATTTGAAATCAGCGAAGAGAAGAGGGTGTCGGGTACCCGACAGGAGGCCCGTCGCGCGGCAAGGGCAGGGTCAGCGGAGGAGACGTAGCGTGTGATATGCGCACCAGCGGGAGGCCCGTCGCGCGGCAAGGAGGCAGGGTCAGCGGAGGAGACGTAGCGTGTGATATGCAGTGTGGGACGTACAGTGATACATTCTGATTGAGTTGACGGCAGAATCACTATAGTAGATGCTGCGAACTGTCCAGCTGCATTTTCTGCATTCTTGCTCGCGCTACGGCATCCATGTCGGGTTACTTTCGAGGGTGCAGTTCTCTGGTTTCAGAATTTTGACCTGGATATTGTAGAGTACACCGGCGACACCTTTTCCTTAATCGTGAATTAGCACGTTGCGAGATGTTCTTTGTACACAAACTCTCTGAGAGAAATCGTGACGCGCACTACACCTTAACTCTTTAAGCTGACCTTCTTGAACACTTCAACAGCCTTGACGAGATATGTGGGCGCTATTGTAGCTAGAGGGAGGCAGTCCCAACCGATTCCGCTCGGATTATGTGCGCTCTCTCACAGGGTTAGTATAAACTCTCACATTTCAACCTCCCACGCACGTTAACTGACTCCCCCTTACCGCTTGCTATAGTCTGGCTCAAGGATTCTTCGTTGAACATTGAGATATCGCTGCCCCGATAAACGAATACTGTGTGGGCTTATTGTTAAAGCTGCTGAGAATTTGTGAAGCTAAAGTGATAGCATATCGACCAAAACTATGTTGGAGAAACTCAGGAGCGACAGCAATGCCTCGAAGAAGCAGATATAGCACTTTTCTTCGAAAGTGAGGTTCTACTTTAGGTAGCGGCTCCCTCCTCACAACCCCCAGTGTTTGGCGTTCGAGCATGCTGCCTCGAAAATGATCCAATAGTTTTAAAACCAGGTCTTCCTTATAACTGTTCTTGCCAAGGAGGTCGAAGATATGAACGTAGCCAACTCTAGCGACGAAGTCTGAAGGTCAAGTGAATGGGATGCAGTACTGACAGTGACTGCGAAAAATATGTACCTTTTTCAAAATGTACAACAACAAGCATCAGCACAGCATCCTTACCAGGGCCTTTGCTACATGACCAATGATACAACATTTGTTAGTAAGTTCTACCCTTCTCCTTCATAAGGATGATTATTACCCATGCGAAAACTGAAGTAGTGCTCGACTCTCATCAAGCTTCAATCGTGTCAGTGCAAGAGGCAACTCAGTTTCTAAATCGCAATGTAACACTGATATAGTTTTGCAAATACTATAGACAAGGATCAAGTGTAAACCATTTTATTCGTCGCATGCTGTGCGTCACGACGACGTAAGGCACGAGTCGGGATTGAAACTGATGTGCTACTTTGTTCAGTAATTGAACAAGAAGTTAATGAGGAACACTAGTAGGGAGAAAAAGCAAAAAGCGCAATAGAGAACACTGAAATTTCTCCAGTGGGCTAGCCAGTGGTGTGACGGAGAGACACAGCGCTGCGAGGAGAGGGAAAACGCGATGAAGAGCTTGATTCTGCGCGAGAGGGCGCAGAGGCCACGTTTGCTGCCATTGATATGGATGGTACCACACCAGCCACTCAAAGCAAGCCCTTAGCGTCCTTGCCTCGCATTTTTGAGTCGCGACAGTGTCACGCTTGGGGACCCCTTTTCCTCATTCTATTAGGGATAACTTCTTGGCCTATAATCCCGACGCGTGGCTTTAATACACAATGTGCCGCACATAAAGGAATGTATAGGGAGTTAACAGTAATGGTGGAAGTTCCCACTCAGATGTTGAAAGTACGGATGGGAGTTGGAGCGCCACTTGAGAAAAAAGGAAAGAAAATCCTGAAATACACAGGAAATATGAGCATTTTGCTCTATGCTGTGGAGAAGTTCAAAGACAGGCAGGGAGATGAGAGATAATGTGAGCGCGGAGAGTGGTAGAGAAGTCCGAGAAGAGAGAGCATAGCACATCAACGTGGCGACGCAGACAAGATATCGAACGGTGGGCGGACCATGTTAAGTTTGGTGGAGTCTGTTAGAAGTCCATGGCGCCTAGGGTCCTAGTGACGCGTTTCGATGTAGAAAGGTGGCGCTACCTTTGCACTTGCGTACCCAGCACTTCTAGCAATGATACAAGGCTCTTAGGGGGGTACTACAGCTACGAACTTTGTCTTTGAACTTGTCTTTAGAATTGATAAATCTTTTCAGCATTACCATGAGCGCTCCTACATCCAATCCGTTATTACGGGTGGAAACAACCGAATCAACTGAAGCAACTTCTTCAACAACTGAAGCAATGCCCTCAACAAGCGAAGCAATGGCAACTGCTGAAACAACATCGGAGAGCACTACAGCTTCCGACATGACGGCAGAAACAACCGAAGCAACTGAAGCAACCCTTCAACAACTGAAGCAATGCCCTCAACAAGCGAAGCAATGGCAACTGCTGAAACAACATCGGAGAGCAGTACAGCTTCCGACATGACGGCAGAAACAACCGAAGCAACTGAAGCAACCCTTCAACAACTGAAGCAATGCCTCAACAGCCGACAGCAATGGCCAACTAGCTTGCAAGAAACTATCGGAGAGCAGTTAGTACAGCTTCGGTAAGAAACAATCGAATCAACTGAAGCAACTTCTTCAGCAACAACTGAAGCAATGCCCTCGAACAAGCGAAGCAATGTCAACTGCTGAAACAACATCGGAAGAGCAGTACAGCTTCCGACATGACGGCAGAAACAACCGAAGCAACTGAAGCAACCCCTTCAACAACTGAAGCAATGCCCTCAACAAGCGAAGCAATGGCAACTGCTGAAACAACATCGGAGAGCACTACAGCTTCCGACATGACGGCAGAAACAACCGAAGCAACTGAAGCAACCTTCAACAACTGAAGCAATGCCCTCAACAAGCGAAGCAATGGCAACTGCTGAAACAACATCGGAGAGCAGTACAGCTTCCGACATGACGGCAGAAACAACCGAAGCAACTGAAGCAACCCTTCAACAACTGAAGCAATGCCCTCAACAAGCGAAGCAATGGCAACTGCTGAAACAACATCGGAGAGCAGTACAGCTTCCGACATGACGGCAGAAACATACGAAGCAACTGAAGCAACTACTTCAACAACTGAAGCAATGCCCTCAACAAGCGAAGCAATGGCAACTGCTGAAACAACATCGGAGAGCAGTACAGCTTCCGACATGACGGCAGAAACAACCGAAGCAACTGAAGCAACCCCTTCAACAACTGAAGCAATGCCCTCAACAAGCGAAGCAATGGCAACTGCTGAAACAACATCGGAGAGCAATACAGCTTCCGACATGACGGCAGAAACAACCGAAGCAACTGAAGCAACCCTTCAACAACTGAAGCAATGCCCTCAACAAGCGAAGCAATGGCAACTGCTGAAACAACATCGGAGAGCAGTACAGCTTCCGACATGACGGCAGAAACAACCGAAGCAACTGAAGCAACTCCTTCAACAACTGAAGCAATGCCCTCAACAAGCGAAGCAATGGCAACTGCTGAAACAACATCGGAGAGCACTACAGCTTCCGACATGACGGCAGAAACAACCGAAGCAACTGAAGCAACTCCTTCAACAACTGAAGCAATGCCCTCAACAAGCGAAGCAATGGCAACTGCTGAAACAACATCGGAGAGCAGTACAGCTTCCGACATGACGGCAGAAACAACCGAAGCAACTGAAGCAACCCCTTCAACAACTGAAGCAATGCCCTCAACAAGCGAAGCAATGGCAACTGCTGAAACAACATCGGAGAGCAGTACAGCTTCCAGCACAATGGCTGAAACAACTACAACTGAGATGGCTTCTGAGACAACTGAAGCCAGCAGCACATCAGCGACAGAAAGTACTGCAGAGCCATCCACAACACCTACGGCAACTAATCCTATTACACAGGAAATTCGCGATAAGGTTATCTTCATGCATAATTTCCGCAGGTAAGCTCATTCACTGTAGGACTCACAGTTACGACCAAGAATCTTTTTGGTCTCAACCAGGAAATCAGTGGTGATTATTCTGCACTGTTTTGGCGGGTTAGCTGCTCTAACCCATCAACAGGAGGGTTTGTGGAGCGAAGCGTCGTGCCGCCTACTGTATTCCCAAGTTTCGCACGCAAGGGAAGCTCTGGAGGTGGAACGTAGGGGGAGAACCGAAGTGCACAGCAGGCTTTCCTCCTCCTCACGTCCCAGAAATTTTCTCTCTTGCAGTAATTGGAATTACTGTGGGCGACAAAAACAGTGCCACCCCCTATCCTTATGAAGAATATACCTTATTCTTTCATCTTGTATACATTTTGTATCAATTATATTTTTTTCTGGATTTTTTGTTCCATAATTTCACCAGTAAGACTTGCTCGTTATTAGGCATGTGTCAGCCTTTGCGACCACGAGCGAATCGATCAGTTGGCGCAAAGTCTGACACCAATTGGTTAATCAAAAGCAATGTGCACGATGCTACGATTACGGCTTCGTGCTTCGGATCGAAGTGAAGAGGGATAAATAGCCCTTGTTCGTAAAGGCATGCCCCAGGATCGAATTGGTGTGGCTCTTGCGCACGAATGTGAATGTATCGGTGCCAAGTGGGCCGGCAGTAAAGAAAAAAGGAAAAGAATCCGTCGAAAACGCTCAGGTTGAGGGCTCACTCACCTTCCTAATTGGCTGTGCTAAGGAATGAGAGACTAAGCGCGGAGAGGAGAGTATGAGGCGAGAGAGCGCATCAGATGAGAGAGCACCAGACAACAGCCTGCTGCTGACAGCGTCGCTTCAGCTGGCCCTAGCGCTCTTGTCGGGCGATTTCCATGCATGAGAATATCCACATCTGTGATTGTCTTCTGAGCGTCTATCCTACAGACCGAAGGGATCGTTCACATGACCACTGCCTAGGTTGTGCCTTTGAGGAAAAGGAGTGATCATCTGAAGAGTCATTAGGTCCCGATCTCTAAGTTCCATGGTTTTGAGAATGCATGTGATTGAACATTAAACCGACATTTGCAATGAACTGCAATCCCCTGGTCACTTGCAAGAAGTCACGAGACAATGTAAATCACAGTTCCAAGGCAAAACATTATCCCCATGGAGCGAAGCCGCACCGACTTTGGGCTCTGGACCCGAATACCCTATTTTTTTGGGCGCCTAAAAAGGCAGCGGATCGTCTCCTCTTGACGGCAGAGACATTTCAGTCATACTGATAAATGCAAAACTAGTTTTACCGTGTCAATGCCGATCTACAGTCCTAGTATCAAACCAGGGCGGCCGTAAGTAATTGCTTCCGAAGCTTGAGGGGACAGCAAACTCTCTCAAATTTTCTCTGCATATACCTGAACCTGAGGAATCTTCCTGGATAAAGGGCCTAACGATCTAATTATATGATTGAGTGCCGGACTAAAGTAAGCATGCATTGAAACAAAGAATCAGGATCGCTTCGAAACACAAAAATTATAATAACAAGGAAGACTTTCGATCCCCGCAACCATTCGGGAAGCATACCTTACGGCCCCAGGGTTTCAGATCTCGCATAGTCAGGACGTGCAAGGTTTCCAGAATCGGTGCGCGCACAAAAAAGCAGCGCCTTAGTCACCAGGACCACTATTATTCTAATTGGAGAGTTGTCGCTTCAAGATGAAATCAGAAACCTCTCTCTTGACTTCCTAAGATCGATTTTGGCATGATGAAGACACAATGGAGGAGCAGCGATCTATCAAGAAGGCAACGGTAACCCGACAGGAGGCCGTCGTAAATAAGCAGAGTCGGCGGAATAGTCGCAGCGTGTGATGTACAATGTAGGGCGTGCAATGTACACTGTATTTAACTTGACGCGAAATCACTACTGTACGCGCCGCGACTCGTCCGCGGACTCTGCCTTCTATCCGCGCGACGGTCCTCCTGTCGGGTACTCAGAGGACACAAGCCTTATGTATACTGTGAAGTTATATTGGCAGCGGTCGCAGCGGTTAAGGAAAGGCATTGGCGGCGTCATGACACGCTTTTAAGTCGCGACAATGTCACCGCCACTCTGCTGAAGGACCCTGCCCCTCCCCTGGGAGAGGATTTCTGTAAGAATCTCTTAATAAATCTTAGAAGCTTTGGTAAAACGTGACTTAAATTTGAAGAAAAAATTAAATTGTTTTCCGTAAATTTGAATCTTTCTTAAATTTGATTTTTTGTCAAAGTTCCGGCCCTACATCCGTTCTGAGAAATTATTTTAAGTGCAGCTTGGTCATGTATCGCATTGAGGGTAGAGAAAGCCGTTTTTCCAGGTCGAGACTTGCCCAAGGTCTAGTGCCGAATGGATTGTCGGGCCAAAAAGCCCCACCAGGACAGAATATATTCAATATGGTGAGTGTAGCTACTCATGGCATAAGGTCGTCGTCCTTTTTATAAACCGAAAACAGTTGATGGTTTCCATGGGCCGATTTCTCGATAACGGCAATTCAAGAAATATTTGGAAACCCCTCGCCCTTTGAAACTTAGGGTAGTCCACAAGTCGCGCTTCGAATGAGCGACAGTTTTTTAGTTTTTCGAATGAAAAAATAGAATCATAGGGTTTCAGTGCGCCATTCCCTTACTGAACCATCTATCAGTTAACACCTTGGAACTCATGCGGGCCATGTGTGGGTGCAGTACGTCGACCGCCTAGGACCTTTCAGCCCTGGAGACAAATTTGAGTTTTTCGTCTGTTTTCCTCTCCATTTCTTTCAAGGGTTTCTCCACATCAAGCAGGAGGCCCTTATTTCCAATTTGCTTGGAAAAATTACTGAAAATTCCACCGAGGACCCTATCGGCCGCAGACGTAAAACATGAGCGGTCTCTAACGTCTCAATCACGTAATTTAATGAGATTCATTTCTCTCTTCGTTTTTTTTTGAGACGATTTCTTCAGTAGCATATTCTGACGTGCTTTCTAGTCGTACAGCACGGATCTTGAGAACGAGGCACAGAAATATGCCGATAATTGCCCATCCAGTGGTTCTCCTGCGGAATCA